TAGTATGTTATAGAGTAAACCAATAAAATTGTGAAAAGAAATGATTTGTCGTTTATTTTACAAATATTTGCTAAAATAGTATGTACGGATTTCTTGGTACCCCTCAAAACACTATTTATCATTGCATTATAGTCATTTTTCAAAATAAGTATTTAACCTTAATTAATACAAAGGTGCCTTCTGTCATGACACGAAGAACACGGACCAGGGAAACAGGCGGACGAAATCAGGAACGGGGTTAAATAAAAGGGTTTAATTGGGGAACTAAGGGGCATAACAGGGAAAACAACAACATGGAACTACACGACTATAATAACGCATGACACTACAATGACAGAACTAGGGAAACAAACTCTGACGTGGACTTAAATACGTCGAACTAATACAGACAATGGAAAACAGCCGTGAAACACTGGGAATCGACATGAGGTTAACGAGGGGGGTGTGGCACAGAAGGATCAGCACGATCGGGGTGTGACACCTTCAAGCTTTTCATCAGTCTTTCAGTTTGTTTCAAGGGAAAGAACATGCTATTTTATTGTTTGGTATCATTGTGCGCACCACTCTGATCATGTCCCAGGGAAAGCAAAGGAGAGAGCTGTTTGAGGAGCTCTGAAAGAAGATTATAGATAACCATGTTAAAGATAAAGGCTATAAGATCATCTCCAAGCGGCTTCATGTTCCTATCACCATAGTTGCCAATATTAATAAAAAGTATAAGGTTCATGGCAACCTCCCAGGACGTGGACACAAGAGGAAATGCAACCCCAGGTTGATCAGGAGGATAGTGTGGATGGTTGAAAAAGAGCAAAGGAAAACCATACAAAACCATTCAAGCTGAGCTGGAAAGTCAAGGTACATCACTTTCTGATTGCACCATCCTTTGCATTTTGAACAATAATGGACTCCATGGAAGAAGACCGAGGAGGGCTCCACATCACTAGTCACATCAGCTCTATGTTTACAGAAGGAAAAATTAAGCTTTAAAAGAAAATAACACCAACCTATTGTGAAACATGGAGGGGGCTCGGTTTTGTTTTGGGGCTGCTTTGCTGCATCTGGCATGGGGAACCTTGAATTTGTGCAGGGCAGAATTAAATCTCAAGACTACCAAGGCATCCTGGAGCAAAACATACTGCCCAGTGTCAAAAAGCTCAGCCTGTCACAGGTCATGGGTCCTCCAACAGGATAATGACCCATAACATTATCAGCTAAAAGCACTCAAGAATGGCTAAGAAAAAAAACATTGGACTATTCTTCAATGGCCCTCCATGAGCCCAGATCTTTAGCCTATTGAACATCTATGGAAAGGTCTGAAAACTGTAGTGTGGAGAAGTCACCCTTCAAACCTGAGCAGTTTGTCAGGAAGTCAAACTACCTGTTGACAAATGCAGACGTCTCATTGTGAAGTACAGAGATTGCTTGTTGGCAATGACTGCTGCGAAAGGTGATGCCAAAATCTGTCCCATTTTCATTTGTTTAATTATATAATATATTCAACTGAATCAATAATCAAAAGTAGTCTGATTTGTGACCCGTCCCAAGATCATCAGCTTCCACTGCAGCGATCACATGGGTAGGACTCGACGCAACACTTGAGGAGCCGCCCACCTCAGGCAGGATACCCTGCCGAATCAGCTCATCTGAAAGAACCTGTTCAATCGCTCGCTTAGAAGCTTCAGCGTGGACAACCACAGTCTGCTATTGATAGCACGTCATCCTTACGGCACTTATCGAATTGCTTGAGTGTGGGAAAAAGGGTGAAAGCGACGAGGTCGTACTGGGCCATAATAACTAATACTAACACCACCCCCCACACAAAAAAATCCGCCAGGCAGACCCGCGAAAAGAAACAAGAACGAAGCTCCCAACTACCGGAAAACAGCAGACAGAAAGGCAACAAAAAGCAAGGAAAGGAGGAACCCAGAAACCCCCGAGGCACACGCACCGAAAAACAGAATAGAGGAATGGACGAGCCCCCAATTTCTGTTACGATCCCCAGTCTAGGGTTGAGGATCGACAGAAAGGTAAGGGAAAGGGAAGACGAGACAAGCGGGGAATGGGAGAAGGGAACACAGGAAACACAGGGGATCTTTTTTTGTAGTTTTTTTTTTATTTATTCACAAACACTTCACCAACACTAGGTGCAACAGACTTCGGGAGTGACAAAGGCCAAAATATCAAACAAAACAGCTAACAAACATGTCCCAAACTAAGCTAACTCTAAATATAGTGAAAACAAGAGGAAACGAAATGACAAAGACTTATTCTAACTCCCTAACTAAAACAACAGTAATCACCACTATCGCAAAAACAAAAAGGCAGCCACTCCTTATGCACCTGACACACATATACAGCAAACACACAGTCCAAAACATGGTATCCAAAGGGGCGAGCAAAGACAGTAGTCGGGAGCTGAGCGAGGGTTCAAAACCAGGAGATAAATATACTGAAGGCAAAGGTACAAAAGGGGCGAAGCAAAAAATCAGAAACCGAGAAACCAAAACAGAAGTCAATCAGAAACAGCAAACTAACATAGCAATAGCAAAAGACAGAGCTTGAGCAACAGCTCCAGCAGGTGATGATCAGCAGGCTTTTCTCTTCATCACCCGGAACTCAGGGCCAGGGCAGAGGGCGAAAGAAGCGGGGCCGGAAACCGGGAGGCAGGCAGAAGCAGCAGCTGGCGAGTGGAGCTTGGGACTGAAGACTCACGTGTCCTGTATACACCCCCAGAACTCTTACGGTACGGTAAGTCAGAGCTGCATCTATTTCCCACCAAGAGCAGATCTGCAGGAGAGGGGCGAGTGGGTGCCCAGGCATAAGGATGGGACAGGGCAGAGCATTTCATAGGCTTCACCAGCACTGAGTGAAGGGAACTCCCCAGGAGAGGGAATGGCAGGGAGACAGAGTGAAGGTCACAGCAGAGGGAAACACAAGGATGAGGTGGTTGAGGAGCATGTGCTGGTGCAGCATGTTGCCGCACCCACCACATGGCGAAACTCCTCGGGATCCCAGCTGGCAACCCCCCAGACAGATACACAGTCTGGTTCCACCCACCGGAAATGGCTACAGGCAGGTATTACATGGGTATCCCCTCGACCTGGTCCAGCCCCTTGGGTCCTCAATAATGAGGATCCTGTGAGCCAGATCACTCTCAGGGAAACGCTCCACATAACAATTCCCTCACAATTCAAGTAATGTGCCTCATTTGGGACTGCTCTAGCAACTGCTCATTCGACACAAGGTCAAACCAGCAGTACCCAAGGATTCTCCAAAGAGACACAGTACCAAAGGAGTCCAGTCTTCGTCTCAGCTCACTGGATAACTTCCATGTTTAACAGCCATACAGCAAGACAAGGAGAAGCCACAGCAACAGCTACTCCCTGAGTATGGCAGGCATCAAAGCGACCAGACCAAAAGTAGGTGTACCCACCTACAGAGATCTGATCATTCACTGGTCTGCGTACCTCAGAGAGTGCTGCTACCTAAATGCGGAGTTTACGAAGTTCCCCTGACAGCAGAGGAAGATGGTCATCTTGCTGGAGAGACAAGACGTTCCCCGTGCCTAACCGAATGGGCCACTTCAAATTGGGGCTCAAGTGTTACCATGCAGCTGGCGATTCCTCAGCCCCAGACCAGCCCTGACTCCCAACAGGCCTGACCCTATTAGCTCTCCAATGGTTTTGACTCTTCCAGGGATGAGGCTGCCAAAGCCTTTCCCCCATCCCCTTCCAGTTACATGCAGCCTTCCTGTGGGCAGCTACAGCAGAACTACTCTTGCAGAGAACATAAGGGTGTTGTGCCTGTTTAGACTGAGCTGCTATGAAGTGTTTTACGGTGACTGAAGTGCCAAACCTGCCACCAACCCCCAAAATTGTTTCACTGCAAGTTGGGGGACCGCTTTAAGGGCCGGATGCAGTTTAACGTCATACCCAGGACAAGGGTGAGGGGCAGTAGTAAATGTGAAAAGTAATAAGATGAACAGAAAGAAATAGGAATCAGATACATATAAAGGGTGATAATTAAGTGACCAATAGCAGCCCATCCAATTATTCAACAAAGTGGGCCTAGCTGGTAACAAAAGCAAACCTGCTCCTGATCCCTGGCCATCTATGGAGAGCTCAAGACACAATAGGGGGAAATGGCCAACACAAGGACGGATGGGGAAAAAACAGTCACACTTAGGTTTTGCATTGCATTAGGTTTTGCAGCGCTCTGTGACCCATGAGCCTGACCAGGATAAAGAGGTGGATTGATGATGGATGGGAGGATTTTAGGGTCAGTCAACAGGAAGCTTGTTTGGGGAGAACTCAACTAATAGCTCAGAGTTGTTCAAATCTTATCTAGCTCTGGGGTTTTAGCTTGCACTGCACTAAACAGGAAGACTATTCTATACTCTAACTACACGCTGTGTAAAGAAGTGCTGTCTGAAATCCATTTTAAAATGTTCTCCTGCTAATTTCCACCTATGGCCATGAGTTCTAGTATTTAAACTAATATTGAAGTAGCCATTTGGCTGAACAGCATCCAGACCTGTTAGAATCTTGTATACCTGGATCATGTCCCCCCTTAGTCTCCTTTGCTCAAGGGCCGAATGGCCTCCTCTCGTTTGTATAGTTCTTATGTTCTTAAGGCTGAACTCAGCTAACTTCTCCTCATATCATTCTTGTAGCCCTACATTGAACCATTTCCAAGGCAGCAATGTCCTTTTTAAGGTATGGTGACCAGACCTGCATACAATATTCCAAGTGGGGTCTTACCAAGGAATTGTATAATCTTAGCATCACCTCCCTTGATGTAGACTCCAGACACCTAGTGATGTAACCCAACATCCTATTGGCCTTCTTAATTGCTTCCCCGCACTGGCGAGAATGAGACATGGAAGCATCAACATACACACCGAGGTCTGGTCATTGCTGATAGAAAGTCAAGAAAATATTTAAGGGGTGGACAAAAGGCAAAAACAGCACATTAAAAAGGAATTTAAAAGTAACACGGAAGCATGGAAAATGATGTTTTATTATAATTCAATCCAACTATTATTGCATGAGTTTTCAATAGCAGTGTACCATTCGGTTTAAATCAAGGAGGCAATTCTTTCCGCTATTTTACCACCTTTCAGAGTATTCATTTCAGGCTAACCTCAGCTGGGTTATGGGTGGGGGGCGGGGGGGAGAGAAGAGGAAGACACCTAGTTTAAAATGAGAACACAGTCAATGGACAGGCAGGTATACCGTATAGAGGACACCCATTGACTGTGTCCTCTATAAACCTGCCTGTCCATAGGATTTTTAGTTATTTTCTTGTGTAATAAGTCAAACATTTCAGTACAGGCACCCAAAATAAATTCCCTAGGCTTTAACCTAATTTAACAGAGGTGCTATTGCAAAGTCCCATTAAGCAACAGTAGCAGGAGAGAGAGTACACACGGTCCATAGGGATAGTTCAACTGATTAGAGCTACAAGATCATCAATTCAGAAACTAACATACTCAAAACTTGATTTCTCCCCAGTCTGAGGCTGAGACTAAGAAAGTCTTGGCTCTATGAAGATGGATTGATGTTTAAGAAGCCAATGAGTAGAGGGAAATAGTAACTTTAATGAATTGAAAATGTTCCTCATAGGAGTCCAGGGTGGGATGGTCCTGGATAAAAGGGGAAAGGAAAGTTAGATCTGTAGGTTTGCATTTGATGTAACAAAGGCTCTTATTTTTATGTGCACCAAACTTTAATATACCTTTTTATTTAATGGAATACCATCCCCAATATTTGCCAGCTACTTCCAGGAACTAGTTATTTCATCTTCTTATTTCTCCTGCCACATAGAAGGCTCTCCCACCAACTTCTCTAGAGGATCTTCCCAAGTCTTCTTTGAAAGATCTTTCAGTAGTGGCACCTTCTTGGCTTCCACAGTATTGTCCTCATTTACAGGGAACACCACTATATCATGGCCTTGTCTGGAGATCATCCATGGCCCATTAGTGATCATAGTATTTATAGATGGGGCCACAGTGTCAATTCCTGAATACAAGAATTTAATCCACAAGGTGGGAATGAAAAAATTTGGGATTAAATACTTGGGAAGAAACTTTCATTTTAAAAGTAAACTCCAAACTTACATACTTTTGGCTAGTCACATCTCATTATCAATACCAACACAGATTAAAAGTTTTACCCAGTTTAAGGGAGCATTTCAGAGTTCACTGTGTACTTACTAAATTCTCCACCACACACATAATCACAGCAGGAACACACAGAGGATGGCCCATGCAGCTCCTCCCAGCTTAAACAAGACAAATCCAGTAGTGACCGTATATATTGTGCAATACACTCAGCTCCACAGGTTTCTGTACATTTGAACAATGTGGAAACCCTTATTTTTTTATATTATATACATGTGCATGCATCTTAACGAATGACTGCATGAAGCTATTCCTTACCTTTTGGATTTCCTGTTGAAGTTGCATGACTTAGCACTTTGAGTCACAGCTCTCTTCCCAACAGCAATTGAACAATGCAGGTAGAGATGCTATAAAACCAAAAGTTGTTAATGACATTTCATGCATATTGAAGGAGGAGTAAAATAAAGAATAAAGTCAAAGAAATTTACCTTTGCAGAAATATTTGGAAAAGCAAATGCATCGATTGTGAATCGTAGGACATTCATTTTGTAAGAAAGAAACTTGGACCGACTCCTCCTCCTCTTGCTGTCCACCATGCACCTATAATCATAGTGTATAGCGAGTAAAAAAAATAAATAAAAAAGAATTATATATTTTTTTATTATATATATATATATATATATATATATATATATATATATA